CTAGGTTGCACAGGAAGATCCCAGACCCGCACCCCAATCCTCCAGTGGGGCAGCTAGCAGCAAGTGGGACATGGGTGGGACAGCTCCCAGCTGCCCCTGGCTGAGGGGGGATTCCCCATTCAGCTGGGTGCTTGCTGCTAGCTGCCCCACCGGTGGATTGGGGTAGGAGGCTGGGACCTGCCCCTCCCCTACAGCTTTTTCCCAGAGCTGCGGGGGACTCTTCCCAGCCTCATTCCCTGGATCAGGGCACAGGACTGGGAAACAGATGTGGGGGAAGGATATAGCCTGGGGTTGGCTGGGACCTGCCTCAGATGGAGACAGATCTTGCCCAGCCATGGGGAAGCCCTGCTGAGCACAGAGCTTGTCCCCGTGTGCACAGGGCAGGAGAGCTCTGCAGCAGCAGCTTTTCTATCCCATGCACATTAGGACCCCTCCCAATGTGCACGGGGCCAGGAGGCAGCTGTGTTCCTGCCAGCCCCTGGGCTAGCACTCAGGAAGAGCCTGGAACTCCCCCTGGCTGCTGCAGGGGGCAGAGCAGGATGGCAGCAAATCTGCTCCCAAGAGGGAGCAAGTGTAGACATGGTCCCCAGTAAGATTACTGTGCCGTATTCGTACTATGCAATAAGCCTGCTTCAAATGAATTGCACATGTAGACATGCCCACTGACTATGGCAGGCTTCCTATTCCTCGTGTACTGGAAAAGATATATTAGGTTCTACGCCTTTGGCAAAATGATCCTCCATTTTTTCCTCTGACCAATCTTCATTATAGTTTTACATTTACTTTGTCAAGAGTTTCTGTTTTCCTTATTTGAGCATGACTAACATTTTTCAAATATTTTTAAGGTTTTATACACCAATATAAACTACTTCTGAATTACACAGAGTAATTACATAATAAATTACACAATTACAGAGCGATCTGATTGTAGCTACACAGACTAGGCACTATTACTCATCACCAGAAGCAAACTTCCTCAACCCCAGAACACACCAAAAGGATCCAGACCGTGCCATGACAAGAAATGCAAAACCTGCCAACACATCTCCACCACCCCCACTATTACTACACCCCACAACAGAGTCATCAGGATCTCAGGATCTTACAGCTGCACCTCCAGAAATGTAATATACCTCATCCAATGCACCAAATGCCCTGATGGAAGATATGTAGGAGAGACCAGACAACAACTGCGCACCAGAATGAATGCACACCGGAAATCCATCAAAGACAGAAACACCCAATTACCGGTGGGGGCACATTTCTCACAGGAAGGCCACTCTCTCTCCAATCTCTCAGTCCTGATCCTCAAGGGAAATTTACACAACACATCCCAGAGACGAGCCTATGAGCTCCATTTCATCAACCTGCTGGATACTAGAGATCAGGGACTAAACATAGACATTGGATTTTTGATACATTATAATCTGCCTGGCAACTGACTCCCCAGCCCAGCCCAGCCCAGCCCCTGGCTTGTTTACTTTTCATTCCATCCAGGAAGAGCACACAGCAACTGCTGCAGCTTCCTGAGCCTGACGAAGGGTTTTTGAACCCGAAAGCTTGCTTAATAACTATTCTCCAACCATTTGGGTTGGTCTAATAAAAGATATCAAATTCACCCAAGGAACCTTGTCTGCCTAGGCACTATTACTGCACTTTACCATAAGGTGCTGGAAAAACAGGTAATAGCCTTCCTGCATGCAGGAAATAGCTACCTCAGGAGACATGACACATGCCATTATAATAGTCTCTGCTGCTATTTTGTTACTGTATTTGCTCTAGTTGCCATTTTAAGTTGTTCTGCTTTCCTTGCTGCAGACTGCCTGAGCCTTTCTTCCGAAGGACAGCATATACATCACATAACTTAATTTTATGCCAAGTTCAGTATAAAGCTGTACTTTGTCTCAGCTCCTTATTTATACTGGTGTCAATGAGTTGAATATACACCCTGAATCTGGAAGGAAAGAACTGTTGTGATAGACAGTCTTTGTGGAGTTAAGCTTAAGTACTTGATAATGATTTGAAACAACTAAGTCCATCCTAATTAGTAAAACTCCTGCTTGTGTACTAAGTAGTATGCACAACACTGGCACTTAAGAGTCTGCAGTTACCACTGGCACTGGAGTTTGTTTTATGCTACATTTTCCATTATCGTTCTATAAAAGGGCTCAAAGTGGCATTTTTTGAGGTTTCTAATATTACCACTTTTTTCCATTTTAAACTGTAATGGCTAGTACTGAATAATCAAGAACAAATGCATGCCTTTTCTCTTTAAAAATGATTTTCAGCAAGGAAAATCTTGAACCTTAGAAAATCAACTATGCAATTAAGTTGTAAGAGTCAGGTATAATTACATATTTTCCACCTTTCCTCAGTTGTGTAGCTTCATAGAGGCATGTTATGTAGCCTCTTAGTTCTCCATCAGGTTTTCAAACACGTTATAAATAATTTTAAAGACATTTTAATTTAAATATTTTCCACATGGCAACGTTGTACTCCAATAAAAACAAGTTCTCATCATTATTTCCTTGCAATTGTTACAGTTCATTTTCAAATGAAGTGTTTTTCAGCTTCACTACCAAGACAAAATAAATCACTTTTCTTAATATTTCATGGCCTGGCATAAATTTATTTATCCCATCTATTTGCAGTCCCTTAACAAAAGCTCAGGGTGGCTCACAATAAGAAAAAATGTAAAGCAGTTTAGGAAAAAAGGTTGATTTTAAAGTTGGCCTTGTTTATACATGTGCTCAGGAAGTGGGGAGGGAGGTGCTTTAATTAGAGTGGCTCTGAAAGCTGCTCTCATTAAAATGCTCTGAACAAGCTTTAGCTAAAGCGCTTCTGCCACCATTTTTAAGTGTGGGGACGCTGATACACGAGACGCTGGAATCTGTTGGAGTGCAGTCATTACCACACTTCAGCAGACTCGCTTAATGAAGCCTGCTCTGATGCGTTGTAATTACAGCACATCGGAGCAGCTTTGCTGCTGGCGTATAGGGACCTGTGGTTTCTGCATTGGACTAGTGTGACAGTGCTTTGGAGTCAATTATTGTCTTAACACAGCTTCTCATGACTTAAGACAAATTATTTGGGGTTTTGTTTACACAGGGAATTAATCAAGAATATCTATCCTGTTTTCAATTAACACCCATTGCTCAAGTTCTCTATACAGACAAACCCTCCCTCACTCTACCATCTGCAAATGGGGAACATCATCACTACAGGGGGGGCGCTAACACAAACTTTTATTTCTGAAGGGCACAAATATTACATCGGATAGCAGAAAAAACAGATTTTTTACAGTAATATTTTTTCCATTCACTTGCATTATTAAAAATTTAAGTATATTACTGTGTTTGTGCATGGAAACTGGGAAGTGAAACTAACTGAAGAAATGTGAAACTGGCTAGTTATCCAAGGGCCGTAAACTGCTTGGCTAATGCAGCCCACACAGAGCTGAGTGCTCAAAAATCTTCCAAGATTTCTAAGTTGTCCTGGAACAAACCCAAGACAAGGTCTTCTATAAAACACCCTTGCACGAGAGTGAACTAGCATGTGGCTCACTCCCTGATTTAATAAACATTTAATTATTTGTACTTAATGGTAATGTTAAGGAAAACCCTTCTTGAAGTAGTCACTAGCCTGAGGGTTGGGCCCATTAGAAGTCCTATATTCAAATCCCTGTGTTGTCTACTTCAGGCCAGGGGTTGAGCCCAGACAGGTGGCAGAGATGAGAGAAAAATCCTCTCATTTAGACCAGTTCTAGCCTACAGCTGAGAAACCTTTCCTGTGAAATCTGGCACGTATAGTCCCACAAAAAATGTTGGTTTCAAGAAATCAGTCTTTTTGGAAAAAAGATTCCCAACCAAACCCATTCCTTTATTCCCTCCCCATGACCAGTATACTTGGGGAATGCTTTAGTGCAGTGGTGCTCAAACACGTGGCCCTGCCAGCTGGATGAGTCGAGCGGCGCGGGTCCATGGGCTGAATCTCAGTCAGTGAATCCCAGTACTCAGGTAGGTTCCTGCACGGCCCGGTTGGGCCCTGTGCTGCCTTGGCTCAGCAAGCCCAGTCCAGGCCCCGTACCCCTAAATTTGGCTCCATGAGTCCAGCTCAGGCCCCGTGCCCCTAGATTGGGCTCCATGAGTGCAGCCCAGGCCTCTTCAGTCTAGGCTAGGCCAGGTGCCCTTAGGTTGGGCCCGCAAGTCCAGCCCAGGTCTGTACCCCTAGGTTGGGCCCCGAACTGCCTCAGCCTGACATAGGGTGGCTGTCACAGAGGACAGTCCGGTTGTCCTCTATTGATACGAAACCGGACACCTTTATGTCCTCTATTTTCTCTCTTCAAGAGAAAAATCGAGGACATAAAGGCGTGGGGTTTCATCTCAACAGAGGACAGAGCAGCAGAACACCGGACTGTCCCCCCTGAGGGCCACCCTAGGCTCTGGCAGGATCAGATCCTGCTGCCTCAGCCCGGCCCTGCGTGCCCACGGTGGGCGCTGCGCCGCCTCGGCCTAGGCCGCACCCCGGGGTGCCCGATGTGGCGCGCATGACCACGCTACCCGGCTCCCCTCGGGTCTGGGCATGTGGCAGCAGGGGAGTGGCAATGAGGCCGTCCCTCTTCCCCGCCACGGCGCCTACGGAGCCCCGGGGCGCCCCACGGGCTGG